GGTCTTGAAACTTTGAGTCCAGTTCAGTCCATGGTTTTTAAAGTTTGAGTCCAGACCAGTCCGAGTCCATGAAAACCAAAAAATCCAGTCCAGTCCACATGGGCTGGACTGGACTGGACTATGGACTCAGTCCAGTCCATACGGAGCTCTGATACACACTTTATCGTGCTATGCATATAATCATAGTTTACCGACGTAATCAGTTTATCAGGAAAGATCGAATCAAGAACAGATTCACCCTTTATTCCAGGACACGTTGGTATCTTCTTCATTGCTTGGGATATTGCTTTTTTTTGGCGAGCAATTTTTAAATCATCGTAATACATGCGATTCGTTCGAAGCTGGTAGCCGACTTTCTGATAAACAACTTTACCCAGTTGTCGGTCATAATCGCCAGGAGCCAAGCAGGTAAAACATGAATTATAACCGGTACTACTGATAAAATTTAAGAACAAATATAAAGCAGGAAAATCAGCCACAAAGAATAAATAATCGACGTGAAACGAAATCGAGCGATTTTGAAAATATAATTCCAGATCATGTTCTTTCAGTTGAACCAATTGTTTCAACGTCCGGGCTAATGTTACGGATAAATATGGTTTGATTGGCCCAATGCTGTACTGGAATAAACACATGTTTCTAAATGAATATCGATATTGTGGAGGAATTTCGATTGTGTAGGCCGAAAAAATCCACGCGGACTTTGTGTTTGATCGACATAAAGGAACACCGTCAGCGCTGAAAAATAGCGTGATAGGATGTTGGTGCCCGTTGAAATTCTTCGCTATTTGTTCTTGATATCGCGATCCGCTGACAATATCTTTTCTACAGTTTTCTGGCTCGCGTGCGGCTTTCATTCCGTACGAAACAATAGCGGATTTGCACTGCTCGACGACGCTAATTAGTTCATTTTTCACATTTGACTGAAATACTTCCGTAACGTTTATAAGACCGGAACAAGAACAAATGTCCATACTGTTTTTAGTGTTGTTATTTAGCTCCACTGATTTCCAACATTTTGAACAATACATAAATTTTTCGAAAGACGACTGAACAGGCACGACTTTCATCAAGGATTTGAACGATAGAGGGATGTAGTTTGGATGAGGTAAGATCGTCGAAATGAAACGTAGTAGAGACGTTATCGTCGATTTATCTAATAATGAATCACGCATTAATTGAACGAACTGGACACAAAAATGGTACGTCGATAATCCAGAACTCGCATAGATTTTACGGGTTTTGTGAAGATAAAGTTCGTTTTGAGCTTTCTCGTCTTCTTCATCTACGTCGTCATCTGTTGATATTGAACTTTCTGAATGATGATCGCTCCAGTAAATTTCACTGTCCTGTTCATTTACGTCTTCACTAAGGTCAGTAAGATGAGTGTTGTAATTGAATACGTCAATCGCTTATCAAAGAAAGATAAGCTTGTCGATTTTGAACCGAGCATAGCCTAATGTAGAGGAAAGTCTGCACTACGAAATGAGACCACTCCCAGCATTCGACAACCTTTCTTCAAAAAGTTATGATTTTTTAAGTTTTTCCTTCAAAGCCTGAAAAAACTCAATTTTTTACTTTCATAAGTTTTTCTCTCCTTTCCTGTACACGCAAATTTTTTCTTACACATAGACTGATCTAAGAAAGTCTTCTCTTCACAATGATATGCCTCCCCGAATTTTCTGATGAATT